AAGATTTTTTTATAATTTTTTTACTTTTTAGGTGTATTTATATTAGGTGTGTCTAAAAAGTAAAAAAATTGCCTAAAATATTAAAAAAATTCAGTAAAAACAAAAAATACGAAAAATAAGAAAGTAAAATTTTTTGAAATGTATTTTTTTAAAAGTGGAAACAAGCAAGGTGAATTATTTTTTACCCTTAAATGATAATTATTTTTTATTTCTTAGCCAAATTAATTTTTAATTTTAAAAAAAAAAATCTAAAACTCAAATCATACATAGCATAAGAATCTTTTGATAAGTCATTTCTTACATTGATAACTTATTTAATTATTTGTTAATTTTACGACATTTTTACCATCTGAGACATGTTTGGTAACCATTTCGTTTCCAGTTTTCAATTTATATTTACAAAAATTTTAAAAACTGTCGTAAAAACTTGTTTAATAAATTTTTTGATTTATAAATAGTTGTCCCAGTTTTAAAATTTGAGGAAAAAACGTAAATTCAAAAAATGAGTTTACGTTAATTTTTAAACAAAAATTTAAAAAATTTACTAACAATTTTTTTTTCCAATTAATTTTTTTTTTCAATGAATTTTTTTTCCAACTAATACTAACCGATGAGGTAATTGGTAATGCTACTTTAAATTTTAAGGAGAGGATTGTAATTTTTAAAATGTGAGGAGTATCAATGTAATTTACCCAGTGAAGGCAAAATTGGTATTTAAAAAAATTAAATTTCTGAAGAGGGAATCTGTAATGAAACTTTAAATCTCAGGGGAGATGTAATTTCCAAAAAGTGAGGGAGGAACTGTAATAAATATAAACATCAAGGGTGTCAGTGTAATTTATCCAAAAATATATAAAAATATTTTAAGATATGTGAAAAGTGTATAGAGCTCATATATATATTTTTTGACATTAGTGCTTCATAAAGGTTGTCATTAGCAAAATCATAATTTTGAAAGCTATAGGTGGGTTGAAATAGCTAATATACCTTAGTGTTATTTTTAGTTTATTGAAATAAAAAGAATGAAATAAATGTCCATTTTTCAACCTCCGTATGAAATGACTATATACTTACAATGGCGAGTAAAAATTTTTTTTAGAGTGTATTTTTAAAAATAAATTTTTAGTAAATCGAATGCTAGAATAGACATTCTACAACTCAATTTCAATAAATCAAATACTCTCTAAGGATGTGTTTAGTTTATAAATTTGGGAATAAATTTTGAAAGTGAAAAAAAAAGAAGTGAATGCAATGTAGGGATAATATAATTATATTTCATTTACATTTTACTTACATTTTCTTTTTCCTTCTTAAATTCCTATCTAAATACATGAACTAAACACAGGCTTTTAATCCACTAAACACAGGCTTTTACATTTTCTTTTCCTTCTTAAATTCCTATTCAGTTTTTAACCCACTTTCTTATATCACAAAAAAATTAAAAAGTAACTTTTAACCATCTTCGTAAAGCAACCAATAATATTTGAAAGCCAAAATGGGACTATTGCGACACATAGGGAGATTATCAGACGATGTGAGGTTTTGGACTTGGTTTTTAAACACAACTAATATGGATCTTCTAAAGATTTTATAAAGTCTATGGAATATCCATTGTGTAAAGGCTTACTGAGTGGGCTGGGCTTCTTGTAATTTATTACACAACGTTTTTAGTTGGTCGTTTAGAGTTTGCTTTTATTTTATAGTTTTTTTATTTTTATAAAAAATATGCAAAAAAAATAGAGAGTGATATTGATTAATTAATTTTGGCTTTCAATTAATTTTTCCCATAATTTTGAATATAAAAATATATAAAAAAATAAACATGCTCTTTATTGTTAGTTATTTGAATTAAATCATACCATTTGGTCAAATGGTTGCGTAATACCTTTTGTGATATGAGGTCAATACCATTTTTTTAAAAATTGCTTTTACTTAATGAAAATAGACAATTTGGTTTAAATTAAAATAGAGAAGATTGTTGAAAGTTCATTTTAAAGGGGTTGTAAGCATTATTATTATTTTCTTTTTGGTTAGGAATACACTATTTGTGAAAGATTGTAGTGAAAAGTACATTTTGTTATTTTTTAAAACATTTTGTTTTCAATTTTACTTTTAAATTTTTATTAACGCCTATCTATTGAAAATTTTATTCTATTTGTTGAATTCGTATATGTGTATCTGTATGTTGAAATTTTATTCTATCTGTTTAATTTTTTGAACCTATCTCAACCTATCTGTTTAATTGTTTGAACATATACTGAGCCTTTTGGAGATAGGAGAGAGTGATTTGTTCAAATCCTCATTTTTTTATCTGTTTAAATCCCACACAAGCAGATAATTGAGCTAACCCCACATTCGTTACACTTTCTTGAAAAAATTTTGTCTCTCGAATTGGCTCAACGAGCACGACAAAATAACAAAATCACTTCAAATTTCTCAATTGGCAAAAATGAATTAATCGACGAATTTGAATATGAAAATCGCAACAAAAATATAGAAACAATTACCAAAAACAACAAAATCACTTAAAAATACTTAATTCTCTGATGAATTCATCGAACAGAAATTGAATTATAGTTCAAAAACCACTGCAAAATCAATCGTTTTGTGTATGAAACAACTGGATCTGAGAAAGATCCATGAAAAAACTTGCTAAAAAACACTTTTACATATATATTTTTTTATGTCACTACTAGTAGACGACAACAACAATGAAGAGCCATTCAAGAAAACCAAAATCAATACTACTACTGCTGCTGAAAACAGAGTATCTGAGACGACGGATATGGTGGTTGAAGACGGATGTGTGATAGAGGCAGGAGAGGAAGTGGGTACGAGTATAAAAGTAATAGTAGTAATTTGTAATTTGAAAGTGTTTTCGTATTCATAATTAAGGAGAGCGGCGAGGAATTTTAGGCTAAACACAGTGTTAGGAGTAGGGCTACAAATGAACAAAGTTGTTCGTGAACAGGCTCGAGCTCGGCTCGGTAAGAGCTCATTCGAACTCGGTTTGTTAATTTTTTTTTTTTGCGTTCAAGCTTGAGCTTGTTAAATTTGTAATAAACAAGTCCAAACATTCTAAAACTTGGCTCGTAAGCTCGACTCGTTAGCTGGCTCGTTTAATACTTATTATATATACATTAAATAATATAAAAAAATATGTATAAAAAAATAAGAGAAATATGCTATTTATATATTTAAAAGATATAAATGTAAATAATAATTAACTATAGATAGTACATTTATATAATAGTGACAATATATATTATTTTAATAAAATATGGATTTTTTTTAGTATGTTTATATATTGTATATATAATTGTATAATCAAAGTTTTAATTGTAACTTTAGTCTCACATGCAAGTATGAATTTATAACTTTTTTGACTCGTTAAGGCTCGTGAACAAGTTCGAGCTCGAGTCGAGCCTAAGCCAACTCGGCTCGAGCTCGATTTGTTAAATTTTTATTCAACTCGAGCTCGAGCTCGTTAAAATCTTAATAAACAAGCCCAAACATACTAAAGTTCGGCTCGGCTTGACTCGTTTACAGCCCTAGTTAGGAGCACTGTTTGGAGATCCTATGAAACTCTATCCCGACCTTCGATTTGCTTATTGTTTAAACCTTTGGCAGCGAAAGATGACAAAGAAGGAGGTTTTGCTGCCCTCTTATTCTTTTTTCTTCACTTATTTCGCTATCTTTTTATCTCTCTAGGGTTTTCAATTGCTCTCATTCCTTAATTTCAGTGTAATGACTCTTTGTGGTTGGTAGGGTATATATGGGCAGTTTGGTCATTTTGCAAAAACATGTTTTTATGGACATAATTGTTTGGCGTGGACTTTTAGGTAAATAAATAAATAAATAAAATTTGAATTTATAGATGGAGTGTCCATTAAAATAAATTTAGAATTTATTTTTGTTAAAAAGTGTAAATTCCTTATTATTATTATTATTATTTATTTTTGGCTAAAGAAGGGTAAATTACACTACTAGTCTCTCCAGTTTTAGTGAAGTGTCACTTTAGTCCTTATAGTGTCAATTCGATTAATTTAATTCATATACTTTCAATTTTGTTGCAATATGATCATTTTATCATATGTTGTTAATATTTGAAAACCAAAAAGGCCAAAGTGAAATTGAAAAGAAACTATAGAGACCACTAATGTAATGAATATGTTACACCAGTAGTCTCTATAGTTTGTTTTGAATTTTATTTTAGTGCCTCTAATTTTGTTTTTCATTCAAAATTCGAATGACAAGTGGTGAAAAGCCCAAATTATAACATAATTAAAAATGTAATAATCAAATTATTCAAATCAAAATTACAGAGACTAAAGGGTGACCAATTATGTAATTTACCCTTAAAAGAACCAGGTCATGTGTTGGGTGACTCTATTTACACATCACATTTGGTCTTAAAGCACACCATTACTTAGTTCACACCTTTAATAATTTGAAAAAACATACAGCTTGTTTGGTTCTGATTTTCATAAAACAGTTTTTCAGAAAATTTTACCATTTTATTTTCCGTATTTTAATATTTTCAATGAATTTTTTTAATGTTTTAAACAAATTTCTTTTTTTTTTTAATTTTTAGACACACCTAATATAAATATACTTAAAAAGTATAATATTTATGAAAAAAAATATTTAAAAAATATACTAAATACCAAAAAATACAAAAAAAATGAAAATTCAATACAATTTTCGTATTTTTGTATATTTTTTAATTTTTAAAAATATTTTTCACAAATATTATACTTTTTAAGTGTATTTATGTTAGGTGTGTCTAAAATTTTTTTTTTTAAAAAATTGCGGGGAGGGATTTGGAAAGGAAAAGGGAAAAGGTGTGTGAAACTAGGTGAAATGTAGGTACATTTTATTCACATTTCACCTAACTTTTCCCTTTCCCTTTCCAAATCCATCGTCAAATTCTCCAACCAAACACAGCGTAAAGGGTGACCAATTATGTAATTTACCCTTAAAAGAACCAGGTCATGTGTTGAGTCTGGTACAAGTACGATAACAATCAAAGACGAAACACTCCCACCCCCGAAAGAAACGGAGATAAAAAAGAAAGCCAAAACACTACGACACCACCACCGAACAAACAAGGAATGTTGCAGAGACCCACACGCAGGTGCGAGGGCACAGCCATGGGTGCCATCGTCTTGGATCTCCGTCCCGGCCTCGGTATCGGACCTTTCTCTCTCGGTACTCCTCTTCTTCTTATTGCTTCCCAGCCAATTTACTTCCTTCACTTTTCTTGATTCCCACTTTTAATCACAATTAGGTCTGCTTTTTTCTGATTTCTTGTTAATTTCGCAATTATGTGGAGTTTGATTTCGTTTTTTTGGGGTTATTTGGTGGTTTTGTTGCTGTTTGAATTCTATAATTACTTGGATTTGTTGACATACTGACTTTTGATTGCTTTCAATGTTGATTCTAAATTTGAGCTGAGATTTAGGCTGTGTTTGGATCATACGTGAGGAAAATATAGGCTAAATGGTTTTCTCATTTTCCAAATTTTTATCCAGATTCACGATCCAAACACAGCATTAATGTAGGAAAATGATTGGAGATAAGTTGAGGGAGAATATGATATGATGATTTGGTTATGTACAAGGAAAAGTAAGAAATAAACTGATATCGATGTGGTAGTTGAAAAAAAAAAAAGAAAAAAAATTTATTTAATTTAAGCTGAATAGAGCATAATGGCAAAAAATGATTCATTTAGCCAATTCCAATCCTACTTGATTGAGACCAATACTTAGATTGGTTTGGTTATGTTGTTCAGCTATTATAGTTTTATTTGATTTTGTTTATTATTGAGCTATAATTGAATAATTCCCTTGATTAATGTCTATACTGTTGTTGCTGGAATGCCAATATGCGAAGCGTTTGTTCAAATAGAGCAGCAACCTAATATTTACGATGTTGTCCATGTGAAATACCTTGATGAGGTATTGGTCAAAAAATGTTTAATGTTGTTTACCTCCTTATGCTACTGTTGTTTTAACGTGGTCGCGTATGATTTGGTTTGGGCTGCAGTCCCATTTTTCTACTGTTGTTTTAACGTGGTCGCGTATGATTTGGTTTGGGCTGCAGTCCCATTTTTTCAGATTGATTGTCGGCAGAAAATAAAAGAAAATGGGAAAAAACATAGAAGCTACCATTTTTGGATGTTTATTTGGCCTAACTGTTCAGTTTGCTCGCTACTACCCTATTCTATCGTGGTTGTGTATGGTTTTGTTTGGGCCTGTTCCCATTTTTTCAGTTTGATTGTCGGCAGCAAATAAAAGAAAATGGGAAAAAAATATAGACATCTACCATTTTTGGATGTTTGTTTGGCCCAAATGTTCAGTTTGAAAGATTGCTACTATCCTACTGATTTCTGGCAAGTAGATTACAGCATAGGTCTTGAATAACAAGTAAAGTCCTGGTAGTTGAAAAGTTACTATCATGTTGGGGGGCTTTTTATTTATTAATTTTTTATTGTTTACACTGTCACTCAAGTATATATTTTTCTTCTTGTTTGTTGTTGCTATTATACTACCATTGTGGCAGTAGTGGAGTGGAGCCAGATTTTCGCTGAAGGGGCAATATTTAGCAAGATTTATTAAAACCAAACCGATCCGATTTTCTTTTTGTGGTAGAACAACTAGACCAGTGTGATGCCAAAGTTATATGTTTTATGCTTGAGCTAACCGATCATTTTTATTTTTCTTTTTTTTGTTGATTTTTTTATTATTGATTCAATTTATTGTTTTAGTTTTTGAATATGATGATCATTATAATTTAAAATACGATCAAATTTCATATTATAAACAACCTAATGAAAGAGAAGAGAGATATAATATAAAATTTAGGTTGTTTATGAGGGAAGAGAGAAATAATATAAAATTTATAAGAGAAGATTTTAGCAAAACTAAACATTTAGGTTATGTTTTGATCTTGGATTTGAGGAGGGATTGTAGAAGGAAAAGAAAAAGGGACGCTAAAACTGAATGGAATAAAATCTCTTTCATTTTTGCCCACAAACTCTTTATCAAATCCAAGATCCAAGGACAACCTTCTAATGAAAAATTGTAGGGATTTTGTTGAAAAGACGAGAAAAAGAAAAAGAAAAAAATGAGGTATAAAGGTTTGGGTGATATACTTGAACCATCAAAGGAGTGAATTGAAAAACAATTTTCCAATTAGAGGTAAAAGTACAATTCTGCTGCATTATCTTGCAGTTTCAATGATTTTAATTGTGCATAGCTTGGACTACGAAATTGCGTTGAACTTTAATTTAATTATATTGTTAGTTTGCATGGATAACCTTTTGTTATCTCAATGCTAGAACTTTTCTTTTTATTCTGCCTTTGCGGTTCTCTCTACTTCAAACCGGCTATTTTGATGATTGTAAATTTAAATGTTCATAGTGGAATTCAGTTGAAGCACATGGTATTTTAGCATTTCAAAGAGTGTGCCAAGCTCTCATTATTATGCCTTTGTTCTACAGGAGCCTCTAAAACTGGATATTGTTATAAGCTTTCCGGATCATGGTTTTCATCTTTGTTTTGATCCTTGGTCACAGGTAATAGTTTGCTCATACCTTTTATGTTAATTTTGCCATTTTGAAATGGATTAGGGAATTTAATCTATTGTATGGATGTTGCAATTTTTCATCTAATACCTTATTTGTCTATTGTATGAATGTTATAATCTTTGTATCTAATACCTTATTTGTGCAAGGTTTTGCACTCTATATACTAGTAGCTAAAAGTGTGCAGGATTTAATTGATAACCCATGATTCTTGTATTTTGCTTGGTGACTTGGTGATTCAAATTTAAGGTATTAAAGAAATCTGTTGTAGAGTTTCAGCTAAAATTCAGTAACTTTAACTAATTCTAATTTGGCTGGAAGATTTTTAGTTTTTGAAGTGACAAAGTTGCAAGAATTATAAACTAATATTTGTGATAATTTTTGTATGAGGAACTTCAACCCACCCCCACACATGTATACAAAACATTGTTTGTACCAAAACAATTATGATTGCCAAATCAAACCAACTAAACCAAACTTATGATTGCATTTCAAGGAGGAGGTGGGATTGACTACATGAATCTTTTTTCTCCATTATGCTCTGTCAAGGGCTATATACTCAGATTCCTTAAATAACATTCATACAGTTTTTACTGCTGCATCTCATGTCAGTTTAGGTCTTCTCATTTCCTTAACATTTCCATTTATGATGATCATATCACTCTTCTTTATTGTTGCATCTATAAGTTTTTGTTGTACATGATCAAATCATCTTTGCCTATTCTCTTAACTTATTTTCAATTGGCGTTACTCTTACCATTTTGCGAATATATTCATCTGAATAACATTTAATTATATCTTTTCTAATCTTACCACACATCCATATAAACATTCTCATCTCAATTACACTCATTTTATAAACGTGTTATTTGTAGTTGCCAGATATTTTGTCCCTTAAAGTATCGCTTGTCTTATTGATAACCAAATTAAAACCAAACCAAACTAAACCTTGTGAATCATTTTTTCTTTTGTAATTTTGCTTTGTCAAGGGCTATATGCTGAGTTAAATTAAATAACTTCATATCTTCTTTTAGTAGTGCATCCCATGTCAATTTAGATCTCCCTCTCCCTTTTAACATTTTCATTGATGGTGATCATATCACTTGTCTTATAGCTATTCTATAAATTTTTTCTTTCAATTTTATTGGTATTTGTCGATCACATAATATGCTAGAAGCGGTTCTCCACCTGAGCCAACTATTTTGATTTAAGATCACATCATCACCAACCTTTCCATCCTTATTAATAGTCGAACTTGGGTAATGATAATGTTTATTTTGTTATCTCTTTTGGTTTTCAATATTGTTACTAAAGTTACATTTTTTGTTCTACTAATTCTAAATCCTTTAGACTCTAGCACATCTTTCTATATTTTGATTTTAGTTTCAATTTCTCACTTGGTTTTATCACTAGAACAATATCATGTGCGAACAACATACACTATGAGACATCATTTTGAATGTATTTAGTTAATCCATTTATAACTAAGGCAACTAGGTAAAGGACAAAGCTGACCCTTGATGCAATCCTACAGTTGTTCAAAACTGACTAGTTTCTCCTATAGGTTATCTAATTGTAGTCACAACCTCATTGCACATATCCTTTATTGCATTAATATACCATTTGGTCACTCCTTTTTTTTTCTAATACCCACTATATTATGTCTCTAGATACACTATCATAATTTTTTTTGCCCCCTAAATCTATAAAAATTCATATGAAGATTCTTTCTCTTCTCTTTGTATTTCTCAATTAATTTTATTAGTAAATATATCTCTTCCTTAGTTGATCTACTTACTGGGCATAAATCCAAATTGGTTTTCTGACACTGTTGTTACAACTCTTGTGCTATGCTTAATCACTTCCTCCATTATTGTTGTAATTTTAGATATCTCCTATATATATAGATATACGTACTAAAGTTAATACTGAAACATTAATACTTGTCCAAAAATTTTGGGTGTTCTTTTATCTTTATGGTTCCATTTGAGTTTCTTGATGAGGTGCACACTTTATGATCTAGTTTGTATGGTAAGCTCATTTTTTAAGTGTGTATGAATGGTACGATTGATTGACCTTACTTTGTACTCTTTATCAGAGACTACGCCTTATTGAAATTTTTGATGTCAAACGGCTTCAAATGCGCTATGCTACCTCTTTGATAGGGTAAGTCATGAGTTTACCTTTCTTTATCTTGCTTTTTATTTCAATGGATTATTAACCTTCATCTTTAATTTCAGAGGACCATCTACACTAGCTACTTTTGTAGCTGTATATGCACTTTTTGGACCAACATTTCCTGGAATTTATGACAAAGATAGAGGTGTTTACACACTATTTTATCCAGTATGTTCGCCAAACACACACCCATGAGATGTACTTACTTTCTCCTTTGAATTTTTTTTTTGTTTTTTGTTTAGAGATGTTGATGTCTGTATTTTACAGGGTTTGTCTTTTGCTTTTCCAATTCCATCTCAGTATACAGATTGCTGTCATGATGGAGAAGGTATTGGATCTAAAATTATTCGTTCTATTATGTTGAAGTACAAATTTTAACAGTGCTTATTAATTTTCTTTCCCTTTTAACTGTGAAGCGGAGTTGCCCTTGGAGTTTCCAGATGGCACTACTCCAGTAACATGCCGTGTCTCAGTATATGATAGCTCTACAGATAGTAAAGTTGGTGTTGGTTCTTTAATGGACAAGGCTTCTGCTCCTCCTTTGCCTGCTGGCAGCCTCTATATGGAAGAGGTGCAGGTTAAGGTTTGACTACTTACTTTGCCAGCCCTGCATAGTTATTTATTATTTTTGTAGTGGTTTCTCACTTGCTCAATTTTCTTCATATCGATATCATCTGTCTGATATGAGATAAATGAAAATTATGGTGTACCACTCCTGTCTGTCTATAGTTACATCAATTGGTTGGTTGGTTGCTAGCTTGGAAAAAGCAAGGATGTTGATGCACCATGCACATGGCAGTTTTGAATTAGTAGGAATTTTGGAAATTTCTATTAGGGTGTGTTTGTTTGTTTGGATTGGATAGGGGGGATTGTAATCCACCGGACTGTTAGTTCTAGGATACATTATACATTGTCCCTAGACTATTTGATTGGATTGGATTTGTGTCCTATGTTTGTTTAGTCATGTGATTAGATGTCTGGATTGGACATTTCTATTCAATCCTTTGTTTATTTAGTCATGGGATTACATATTTGGATTGGACTATTCTATTGAATCCGATGTGTATCCTATTTGATTTATTTATTTTTACTAAAACTTTTAAAAAATAAAATACATTGAACATCAATAAAAATTATATAAATTTATTTTAATTTTTAGTTGAGGTTTTTAATTTTATTTTAATTTGAACTTTTCAATAAATTGAACTTTTAATTTTATTTTTAATTAAATAAATTGAATAAATTGAACTTTTAATTTTATTTTTAATTAAATAAATTGAATAAATTGAAATTTTTACTAAAACTTTAAAAAAATAAAATACATTGAACATCAATAAAAATTATATAAATTTATTTTAATTTTTAGTTGAGGTTTTTTAATTTTATTTTAATTCGAACTTTTCAATAAATTGAACTTTTAATTAAATAAATTGTATAAATTGAACTTTTAATTTTATTTTTAATTAAATAAATTGAATAAATTGAATTTTTAAAGGGGTATTATAATCCATTGAAGTGTTAATTTAATTTAATTTTTAGTTGAGATTTTTTAAATTTTATTTTACTTTACCAAGTATAATTAAAAATAATATAAATAAAAAATTGAGGGCCAAAAATGTCATTTTAACTTTCCAATCGAGTTATCCCACCTTTTTTATCCCTGCATGGGACACAATAGTCCCACAAATAAGGGATTGATAGTCCGGTTGGACTATTAGTCCAACTTATATTTTTTGAACCAAACGTCGGACTATCATATGCAATGGACGTGGAGTCCTATTCCACACTCTAATTCCTCCAAACAAACACTCCCTTAATCTATAGTAGGCTAAGAAGTATGGACATGGATACGGATGTAGACACGGACATGGATGCGGACACGGGACACGGCGATTTCAAAAAAATGGGGATACGGCAATAAAATATATTTTCATATATTTTTATTTCGTATCTAGATTAATATTACATCCACAAACAATAAATATTAACAAAACTAACTTTAATTCTAATTTTTTATTTTAAAATGCACTTTTAAATTAATGCTTACAGTTTATAACTTTTTTTATTTATTTTATAGATGATCTATTAAGTATTTAAATCGAAGAAAAAAAATAAATATTCAACATTCATCAAAAACACTAAATAAAATGGGGGAAAAGACAACTTGGCATGTATCTAGTGTGTTTCCGAAGTGTTCCCAGTGTGTCCCTTGAAAATAAATTAATTAAATAAGGAGACACGCCATGTGGTGTGTCCCATGTATCCCCGAAGTGTCTGCGTGTCCGACACGGATACGGCACTTGTTTTGAAGTGTCGGTGCTTCATAGGTAGTAGGCCTCCTTTGCCACTTCACTAGTGGCTTGGCTTAGTCTTGCTCTCTTTGCCCGCCTATTGTATCGGCTCATCTTCGTCCTAGAAACTACTGCTTCCACCTCTCTAGGTTTTGCTATCGCTCATGACTAGTATATGGATCTCTCTATGTTAGGGATGGCAATTTGAACCCGGCCCGACGGGGACCCGATCTCCCGATCCCGATTTGGTCGGTTTTTTCCCAAAAAATATTCCCGACAGGATGGGGATGGTATTCAAAAATTAATCTCCGAACAATTTCGGGCCGAGGACTGGGATAAGTGTCCAACCCCCATCCCCGGCCCGGTTTGTCCTCGAAATAAAATTACCATTTTACCCCTATCTCTCTCTATATATAAAGACTACCTCTCTCAAAACTGATACAACCCATCTTCTTTGGTTAACATACAAACCCATCTTCACTGATACAAACAACAAACCCATCTCTCTCTCTCTCTCTCAAAACTGATACAAACCCATCTTGTTTGGTTAACATACAAACCCATCTTCACTGATACAACAAACCCATCTCTCTCTCTCTTCCCTTTACATTCTCTTCTGCATCCGAAGTCAACTCATCTCATCCTCCGACGCCGTTGCCTCCTCCGACACCACGACCACCGTGCTACCCCTGGCTGCCGTCCCTCTCTAGATCCTCACCGCTGCATATTTACTCCAGGGAAAACGAGATCGATCCTCACCGCTGCATGAACTCCACAATTTCAAATCTAGATCTAGTTTTTTTTTTGTTTGTTTGTGTGTGTGTGTGTGTGTCCATGAGTGTGCATATCTATATATATGTGTGTTTTACAACTCAACTTCTGATTCTGATTGTGTTGTTATATTGTGATTGTGATTGTGGTATAAAGAGGTGATTTTGATTTTGATTCTGTTTAGGGTTTTGAGTTGGTTGTGATTGTGGTGTTAGATCTGCAAGTGGAGCTTCATTTTTTTATTTTTATTTATTTATTTATTTTTTTGGGCCGGGGAATTTTCGGGGTCTGGGAAACCCGATCCCCGTTAGGAGACAGGGACGGTGAGAGGTTCCCCGTCGGGGATCGGGGCCGGGGCCAGGGCCGGGGAAATTTTTGCCATCGGGGATCGGGGACGGGGAGTGTGATCCCCGCCCCCGCCCCGTTGCCATCCCTACTCTATGTAGTGGTCAACAGGCACACAGGAATTGTAGCTACAATGTAGTTGGTCCTTTCCAGATGTGATATTGTTGTTGTTTAATTTAAAGATGTTCGATAAAGGCAGCAATAGAAGTTGTTCTTTTGAAGACTTTTCATATGACCCTGTTCATTTTTTCTGTCATTCAGATTAGGGAAGAGTTGAGGTTTACTGTTGGCGGGCAGCATATCCCATTTGGTGCATCACCACAGGTAAGATCTGCTTAACTCTTTCATTGCATGTAATCTTTTGCCTTCTCCATTTCCTGTAATTTTATTTTGGATTCTTTTCTTGTATAACATGCTGTATATGTATTCTTTTTTTGGAAGTGGTCCAAATCATGCTTCTTTTGTTCACTGTCATTGTCCAAGGAATTACGATATTTTTTTATATATTATCTTTTGCTGCTTATTGCTTCTCATCCTACTTTTACCTACATAACATAGTCAGTCGGGAATGGGAATGTCTTTGGCATTAAAAACAAATTGGAACCTTACAGTCAATTGTGAATGGTTAAGAATACTAATTCAGGAAAAGTCGCAAGTATGAATTGAGAGTGAATAAAAGCTGATCCGAGCCGAGTTTTAATATGTTTGGGCTTGTTTATTAAGATTTTAACAAACTCAAGCTTGAGCTTATTAAAAATTTAATGAACCGAGCTCGAGCTAAGTTGGCGTAGGCTTCACTCGAGCTCGAGCCTGTTCATGAACCTTAACGAGCCAAAAAATTTATAAATTTATACTTGCGTATGAGACTAAAGTTACAATTAAAATTTTGATTATACAATTATATATATACAATATATATAAACATTCTAAAAAAAAGTCAATATTTTATCAAAATAATAATATCTACTACCGCTATTATATAAATGTACTATCTATAGTTAACTATTATTTATATTTATATTTTTTAAATATATAAATAACATATTTATTTTATTTTTTATACATATTTTTACATTATTTAATATATACATAATAAATATTAAACAAGCCAGTTAATGAGCCGAGCTTTAGAATGTTTAGGCTTGTTTATTAAAAATTTGACTCGAGCTCGAAAAAATATAACGAATCGAGTTCGAACGAGCTCTTACCGAACCGAGTTCGAGTCAGTTCACGAACGACTCTGTTCATTTGCAGCCCTAAGAGCAAGCAATGAAGAGGAGAATTTGTTGAACTGTATTGAAGAAAAAAAGTGTTTTACTTTTATTTAGATGTTATTTGTTGTAGGTGTAGCCTCATAATCACAAATAAAACTAGGGCAAAATGAATATATGGTGATGATAAAACTAAATTGCACCCAAATTGAGGTAGAAGTTTAAACTTTTTGGCAACTTTAGAAACAATTCGAGAAGTTTATAGTGGAAGTCCGGCATCTGGTTTGGGTAATCTGTACTGTTATGCCAAGATTCTTTGTTGAATTCTTTCAATTTGTGGCGGTTCTATGTACTGCATTAACTGGTCATTAATGCTGTCGAATTGGTGTATCATCACTGTTTGGGATTTGGACACAAAGCTACTTCATCATGTAGGTTATTTACCTCTCTCCCCTTTGTTGCGAAGTTGGGGTTCACTAGCACTCTTGTATTCTGTCGACTTAAACTCTGTCCTGTTGGTCCGCAGTCACAATAAATTCTTATCATTGTCTCTTGTTCATGCATAATTATTTTTTTTGCTAAGACATTTTTCATAATTCTTTTTGGAAAAATTAGTCTAACATCCCTCTCTAATTTTCGGTGGTAGAAGAGGTCCACAATTTTTTTTTTTATGTTAGATGAGGTCCCTCACATCCTTTACTACTATTTTATTCAAAAAAAATATCAACTTTACCCTCACTCTTCTCTCTTCTCTCTCTACTTATTTGGGTCTCTCTTCTCTCTCTACGTATTTGGATCTCTCTTCTCTCTCTTATCCATCTCTTTGATCTCTCTCTTCCCAAACCCTAAAACCCAAATCTACCATCTTGTCACTCTCCCATACCGCCACCTCCGCCTTTTTTCACTCCGACGGCCACTTCATCACCGCCGCCGATTCCCACTTTGATATCATCTTTCTATTTATATTCTCTCTTCTCTCTCTCTCTCTCTCCCTCTCTCTCTCTCTAGATTTGGATCTCTCCACCACCTCACAATCTTCTCTTCCCAAACCCTAGAACCCAAATACACCATCTCCTCATTCTTCGACACCGCCACCTCCGCCTCCTTTCATTCTGACGATCGTTTCATCACCGTTGGCCTTGTCCATGTCTTCGACGCCAAGTTCTAAACCCTTTCTGCTGCCTTTGCGGCCACGTCCGCTCCGTTGACCTTGTCCACTACCATGAGGATGGATCCTTGATCTCTTTGTTGAAGAATAAATAGTGGGCGATCATGGACAACAATAAACTCATGGATCTTGAAGAATTTGGAGGACTTGCTGAAATTTCTCTGGACCTATACTAGAGAATTTGGAGGACCTGCTGAAATTTCTTGGGACTTATACCAAAGAAATCTCACTGGACTTATAGCAGAAATTTCTTTGGACCTATATTAGAGAATTTGGAGGACGTGCTGAAATTTCTCTGGACTTATACCAAAATAAATTTGTTCGTGAAGAGAATTTTTTTTGAAATTTCATTGGACTTATACCAGAGAAATTTCATTTGAGCCTATATCTGGAATTTCTTTGTAATGTTGATCTTCTTTGGTCATCACACACTTGCAATATGAAATTTCACTGGACCTATATCTGAAATTTCTCTGTCATGTTGATTTTCTTTGAATTTTCTCTGCAAATGTAGTCAAAGAAATTGACTTGCATGTTGATTTTCTCTAAAATTTCTTTGCAAATGTAGTCAGAGAAATTTACTTGCATGTTGATTTTCTCTAACACATTTGTTTTTTTCTAAAATTTCTATGTAAATGTATTTAGAGAAATTTACTTTCATGTTGATTTCTAACTCAGTGAAATTTTGTCAATTATTATTATTATTATTATTTTTTATTTTTTTATTTTTTCCTGAATTTCATATTCATCATGGATCTTGTTTGATAGATTTCGATGAGGGCATTCCAAAAATATAATTTTTGTTGAAAATGAACATCTAAATCAAAAGTTATTGAATTTTTAAGTTTTGAAAAATTTCAAAAAGTGAAAGACATTTGAATGTAAAATGCAAGGATATTTTGGTCTAATAATTTTGGAGGGAAGAGATGCATGTTTTTGAGGGACCTGACGTAGTATGAAAGTTTGGGATGTCCTTTATCTCCTAAAATTGTAATATTAGGGACCTTAAAAAAAAAAGCCATTCAGTGTGTTTGGTTTGAGTTTTCTGGATTAAGTTTTTTGAAAATTGACTTTTTTAATTTTCGTGTTTTTTTGTTTTTAGTGAATATTTTTTAAATTTTAAACATTTTTAGATGCACCTTACTCAGATGTATCTAAAAAGTAAAAATTTGTGAAAAAATATTTTAAAAAATTAATTAATACATAAAAATACAAAAAATGTACTGAATTCTTGTATTTTTTTTTGTATTTTTGGTATTTAGTGAATTTTTAAAAGATTTTTTTTACAATTTTTTTACTTTGTAGGTGTATTTATGTTAGGTGTGTCTAAAAAGTAAAAAAATTGCTTAAAATATTAAAAAAATTCAATAAAAACAAAAAAACACGGAAAATAAGAAAGTAGAATTTTCTGAAAAGTGTTTTTTGAAAGGTGAAAACAAGCAAGGTTATTCTTTTTCCTCTCTTTTTTTATTTATCCAAAAAAAAAAAAAAAAAAAAAATCTTTTTCCTCTCTTTTCCTTCTTTTGATAAGAGAACAAAAAGAATTTGTTTTTTTGCTTGTAGCCTTCTACAACCTACATGCACCTCTCCCCTTCAGTGCAAATATTCCTGATTATTTTGTATGCCATTTCTTTTCATTATTTTTTAGTTCTTTCAAGAAACACTTGAATGTAGAATGGTGTTTATTTGGTCTGTTGTAACTGAGGCTTTATTTCTATATTGCAGTTAAATGTTTGTATTGCATGTAATACTTTTGGTTGTTTATGCAGGATGTGTGGACTGAGTTAGGTCGTCCATGTGGAATTCATCAAAAGCAGGTCTCCTCAGTTGCTCTTCTTCTTGAAAACTGAATGTTAGAATTTTGCACATTTGTTATGATATGATTGTACATTTCAGCTACTCATATGAAGCCGTGAGATTCTTATTTTTGGGAATTTGCAGAAATTTATGCTGTGTTTGGTTGGAGGATTTAGAAAGGGATTTGGAAATGGAAAAGGAAAAGATGTGTGAAACTAGGTGAAATGTAGGTATATTTTATTCTTATTTCACCTACCTTTTCTCTTTCCTTTTCCAAATCCTCCAACCAAACACAGCGTTAGTGAACTATTCTATGGATTGAAAAGATTTTTTGTATAATCATTTAAGAATCCAAACCCCCCCCCAGTTGCATTTTGTTAATTTAATATAACCAAATTATTATTTTTTAAAAATTTAGTTAGTTTGATTCCTTTTTTTATGTAATAAAACTATATGAGTGGATCGATGCGTTTATTTTTGGTCAAATACTTGAATTTTCTGCATCATGGATTTATGGGTAGGTTCTTTGATTAACAAGCAGGGATATACAAGAGTTGTTTAGGCATTGGCTGTTTAAGGTTTTTATTGTTGTATCAACAGCTCAAGTTTCGCACATGCCAATTAGAAAGTGAATGAAAAACTACAAAATTTAAAAGAGACAAATCTTTATTTTGTTTTCGTTTCTTTATACATTCTACGACAGACCTTTCAAGTATCTTGAGTTATCAATACAAAAATCATTGTTGTCAACCAAGTGACCCTAGTAGATGCCCTGCTAGTTAAAATGATTCCCTATGCAACCACACTACACAACAACATGAAAAAATTAGTCAAAATTGTGTTCTTGTTACTGAATCAACCAGTTGTTATTCATATTAAGCAAGCAGCTACATATATTGAAGCCATGCTAGAAGGGAACACGAAACAAAGCGCAAACAAAAAGAAATAATACATCTACACTCTTGAAATCACTTCTTTTTCCATAGACATTTCTGGATTTTGAGGTCCAAAAAACAATTTGTAGAGATAATTTATGTTACTTGTACAGGTTGACCAAATGGTGATTCATTCTGCCTCTGATCCTCGGCCACGGACAACTCTATGTGGTGATTATTTCTACAATTATTTCACTCGTGGCTTGGACATATTATTTGATGGGCAGGTATTGTCTTCCTTCCTTCATGGTGTTAAATCTCTTTAGTGAAGTTGTGCATATTAATCTTTGTTCTGGAAAATTCTCAGTGTATTGTATTGAATTTGCAGACTCATAAAATCAAGAAGTTTGTTTTGCATACCAACTATCCAGGGCATGCAGATTTTAATTCATACATAAAGTGCAATTTTGCTATCTATAGTTCTGATTGTAAGTACCATTCTGTTACTGAATGATTGGGTGGTCATACTAACTTAGAAACTGATACCTTCCCTTTCTAATTTTTTCTACAGTTGGTGGGTCTTTTCATGAGGAAGTAAATGCCTCTAAGCGCTGCATTACACCCAGCACAAAATGGGAGCAAGTGAAGGTGAATTTGTTTTACTGCCATTAGTGATTGTACTATGTTTTCTGTAGAGGAAGTTTCAACCTTCAAAATATCAAAATAGATTATGAAAGTGCAAATTCAATTAATATGACAGAAGTGTATGCAATTGTTTATTGGGTATTTTATTTTTATTCTGTATGTTTTAGCTCATTTGGTTGCTGGGAAGAAGATATTAAATCGGTCCCTTTTATATTTACAAGATGGATAATGTGGCAATGAGTGACTTCCCACCCTATTCTTTGGTTAATTTAATAGCTACACAGAGACAATTAACAATTGTGTCATTTTCACACCTATATCTTGTAGTGTTATTTCTTCAATGTGTTCAAACTGGAATTTTCTGGTCAGGATTTCTGTGTTCTGACATTCAATTAGGTTTTAAATGTTTGCATTTCATGAATGCAACCATTATGACAAAGCCCCAAGCGAAAAAGAAGTCCTTGTTCTCTATCAAATTGCAATTTCCCCCCCCCCCTTTATGCTACAATATTGACTTGGTTATTATTAAATAGATAAAAAAAACCCCTATTTTTTATTTATTTATTTTAGATTGAAGCAAAAAACACACTTTGAGGTTTGATGAGCATACAAAAGACCTTTTGTAAAATTTCAAAAATTGTAAACCCCCCCCTGAGGGAGGTTTGAAGTCAAATTGCCATCAATCATAGACTGTCAAGATTGAGGATGGAAATGGTTTGATGTTAGTATTTTTCAATACCAAGTTCCAACATTGCTCTTATATGTAGCTAAAAGACTAAAATAGCCTCGGAAACCAAGACTAAAAAGCCTAAAGTCAAACATGTAGTTGAAAACTTAGCATCCATCCAAGGGTACATTAGTTTTTATAGCTAAATATGATGGCATTTTTTAAACTTGGCATTGGAAAATGCTAATGCTATACCATTTGTGGTGGCCTAAATCCTGATGGCTTCTTGACAGAATATGGTTAACTGTGATTTGACCTCAAACCTTGTTTTTTTTATACCAGAGTCCCCCCCCCAAATCAATCCTTGAGAGGTCTTTGTTTTTTTTTTTTGCTCTATTAACTTACATTTGTTCCATATGAGATTTTTAAGTTACATCTTTCTACTTCTGCTTTGCCCTTAAATATCTGTACTGATGCCCAAAAATGATTTATTCACCCTAGGAGATTCTTGGGGACTCTGGCCGAGCAGCTATCCAAACACAAGGTTCTACAAGCAATCCTTTTGGATCTACTTTTGTGTATGGTTATCAGAATGTTGCATTTGAGGTGAGTCATTGCCGGTTGATCCTTTTATACTCTATTCTGTTCAATTTCCCTGCCATCTGAATTTGAATTTTATGTTTTATGAGGATCCCCCTGATGTTTGGCAGGTTATGAAGAACGGGTATATTGCAACTGTGACTCTCTTCCAGTCGTGACAAAATTCTTAACCGGTATGTGTGGGTTTTGAAGATTTTTTTTACTGCAACTCTTCTTTCTTTCTGGCAGTATTCTGATCTTAAATTTGTGTTATTTGTGTACAAATAATTTTTAGGCAGTGGTTAGTTTTAATTGATGAAGCAGTTATTCAACTTCTAGAAAACTTTGAATTAGGTCTCTGGTATGACATTCATGAGACATTACCCACGCGTTGGCGTGTTTGAGGATGTATCTTATCCTATGTTACACGGACTTAGGTGCGGGTGCGTATTTAGGGTCGGACACTTCAAAATTAAAAAATGAGGATACGTGGATATGGATCCAAATTTGGATACGGGTCAGAGATATGTTAAATAGTTATTTTTTAAAATATATTTATTATATGAAGATGAGTTAAAAAAAAGGTTAAGGAATAACTAATTTTGTTAAAAAAATAACAAATAAAAATTTTAAAAATTATTTTAGGTATAAAATAAATTATATTATATATGATAAAATAAATTATTTTCATTTTAGATATAAAAATTATATTATTTATGATATATTATATTATACAATATTTTTTTGAGTGAATAATATTATATAATATGAATACTTTTGTATATTATTATATTAATATCATTTATAAATAGAAAGCAGAGAAAGAGAACAGAGAGGAAGAGAAAACGGAGTCAAAGAAGAAGAGAGAGAGAGAGAGACCAAAGGGGAATCGAAGCGCTAGGGTCATTTTTTGGGTGGAATCGACTTCGCGATGTTGGTTTTTAGATCTCCTTCAATTCGGTCTAGTTCGCGACTAGGGTTCGTGCTTCGATCTTGCTTCGCGACTCAACTTGCTTCGCAAAGGTGAGTTTCACCCCCCCCTCTCTCTCTCTCTCTCCACCTCTGAGTTTTAGCTTTAGCTGTATATGCCATCTTTCTTCTTCGTTTGCTGTATCCACTTTCTCCATGCCGTATCCCGATCCTGATCCCGTACCCGTATTTGTACCCATGTCGTGTTGTGTTGATATGGGTACTTCGCCAAATCTGACGAGTGCGTGTAACATAGATCTTATCTTGTTTGAGTTATATAATGTTGCCATCTTCATACTCGGAAAAAAAAGGGTAAACTACACGAACCTCCCTTGATCGTTGGCAAAATACACTTGATCCCATTAATATGAGACAATCACAGTGGCCTTGCTTCAAACAAAACAGATGTTAACTTTGTTAATCAAATAAATAATCTGACAAAAATGCCCTCAGATTTTCTCTTATCATATATGGCATGCAAACGAAAATACCCTAACTCCATACCTCACTGCCTTACCTCCCACATCCCTCCACCAGCCATACCTCTTACACACCATCATGATCTTACTGCCACATTCCTCTGGTCACCCCTTCTCTTCCTGCTTCCAATGCATCACCACCACTACTAAAACCCAGCCCCACAACTGCATCAGGACCACTTTTTCTAGTTCCACACTCGTGCCCCTTACTGCCATCCCTTTCTCTCACCCAACCCAACCCCATGACCATGCCACTCTTGCATCACCTTTTCAGAAAGAGCGATCGAGAGAAAAGAGACCACACAACCCGTAGGCAACCAAACCCTGAATCACCCACCAAATCCGTCTCCAATGCGACCGGAAGATCATTGTTCTTGATGTGCAGACAGACTCTTCTCTTGCACGAAGATTGGAGAAAATGTTGGGTCCTGGTGTTTAGATGCGGATTATTGCATCAATAGCCAAATTTACACTGTTGCATAAAGAACCAAAATTAGATTGTTGCATCAAGAGCCAAAGTATTTCCTCATCTCCATAGTTGGTAGGTTGTGGAGTAATTAGAAATTGGTTTTTTTTACTTGATAAAATTACTCGTGTTGCTGATTTAAAAAAAAAAAAATAGGAAAAAAATTAGAAGTTGGTTTCATCTCAGACCACAAGGAAATAGGAATTCAATATATATGTTTGCTGATGTCATGGTCAAACTGGTGAAAGGCTAACGGTGACTTAATGGAATGAGTGCAATTGTTTTATGATTATATAATTTATGTAATGGGGTTCACTGTATTTATCTCAATTATAAATGGAGCTCCATGTAATTTATCCTAATAAAAAAGGGGAGAGAGAGAGAGAGTTCCTGGATGCTGCTCATGTGCTTGGAATGGAAGGTATTTATATTTTCTTGTTTGGAGTGTATAATACTTGGCTTCGGCCCAGATTTTTTATTAACATGATTAATTTTCTCATTGGGATTATCTATGATATTTCCCTATGTTTCAGTTCTAAAACAGCCTCCATGTTATAACCCTCATGGTGCCTTTTTTGGTCGTGATTAATGTGTGTTGATTTGGTTGCAATCTTCTGTTTTTGCAGGGTGTAGGTGGGTTTGTACTAAATGTTTATAAAGAAGCAAGAACTACTTGGAATAAATGCCACCGCGGGACTGTGTATAGTCATGTAATCATGTGTAATTATCATTGATAACCAAACAAGAGGAATGAAAGGTAACATGTCATTTCCTTTCCTTCCGTTTCCCTAAATTAAGTATTGTCTAACCATAGAAGAGGAGGAATACCTCCCCTCTCTTGCCTTTCCCTTTCCCTCGCAACTTACACTTGGGTGGACTGTGGGTTCTGTCGTATTTGTACCCTCTTTCTATGACATGGGATGCATACATGTATAGCTAGGAGAGAGAAAACACCACAATACTAATGTAAATAGTTGGTTCAAGTTATCTTGGTTGCATGATCTATGATGCTCTATTTGGTTCACTGGAATGAGTTGGTAAGTAATGGAATGATAATTTCTTAGGCTCTCATATGGAATGACCAGTCTCTTGAAATGGTGAATGATGATTCCATTTGTAATGTATCTTGTCATTATTTTTTTAGTCAATCAAACATGGGAATGAACATTTTGATGGAATGATTATTTCATTCTGTTTCAAACACTACCTGAATGTAATTTTTCTTTTTGGACGAGGTTTAGGGTTGAAAAAGCATGGTCTGAACTGGTTAGTTTCAACTTTTCTTTTCTTCTCAAAATTTGTATGACCTTTTGTTAACAACCGGGGCGATGGTACCATGTGTAAGCATATAAACTTTGGTCGTGCCTTAATTGGTAAATACAGGCCATAGTATTATTGAATGCATGCTTTAACCTTTTTTTTTTTTTTGAACCGGAGTGCTTTAACCTTACTTGATGGATGTTTAACCTTACTTGATGGATGATGAAATCATGGAAAATATTAGTTTAATCTTAATCTAGGAATAATCTAAACAGCTGCCTTGGACTACACTCTGTGTATTTCTCGAGTGAATTGGAGGTGTTGATACTGAGAATAATCTTTTTACATTGTGCTCTTGACTAATGAGGCAGCAAAAATGAACAGATAGTATCGATCTTGTCTGTCCCTTGGTCAATCAAGATGGGTTAAATCGGTTTTATTCTTTCCATGACTAGTCTAAGAGCATAGTGTCAAATTTTCTTCTAGTCTTCAATGAGATTGGTAACATGGTAGTTATGCCTTGTTTGGTAATTGGCTTTTTAATTTTTTTTGAACTTCTTTATGAAGTAGAAAAAAAGTTAAATGCGTTTGCGAATGACTTGTTTAGTTATATAACGACTTGTTTAGTTATATTGAGAGTTTGACTTTTTAAGCAATATTTGTCAAACGGGGCCTTAGTGAGCTCAGAAATTAGCATTATTGCTGAGCTTAGCATTATTGCTAACTGTAGAGAGGGGATGCTAATTGGATGGGGAGAGAGAGAGGGGCCAGGCCACTGTATTTAAAAATAAATAAATATATTTTAAGGCATTTTATTTCTATAAATACACATTTAAATAGATTTTATTCTTACATTACACTTTAAGAATCAACTCAACTCTACTCATTTTCTAAACTAACGAACATTTGACACACAAAACTGAGCACATTTTTATCATTATGTAGCACAATTTTGGAGAGACCATCTTATTGATTCTGAAGGACGATATTAACGTGCTTTCAGTGTTTGAGAGAGAGAGAGAGAGAGAGAGAGAGAGAGGCAATCAGAATTCAGGAAGCCAGTCATAGCCATCGATGAAGTTAAGAGAAATAAATGGTTTGGCTTCTTGTAGAGTGAGCTCCCTGGACCATGACACCCTCCCTTCGAAGTCAGCCCCTGGTCCCATACACTTGTATTGCCCATAAAACACTGTCCTGAAAAAAAACAAACCAAAAAAAAATGTTCATATTTTTTTTGGGGGTTAAGTTATAATCCCAGCAGATAATTTTAATGAAGCCTTTAAAATAATGAAATTTATTATTTGATGGTTTTTTTTTTTTTTTTTTTTCAGAGACAAAAGATGAAACAGTTTGAAAATACAAAATTCTTGTTCTCTAGGCGTTTGACTTCTTGCATGATTTTGTTATTCTATACAATAGTTACTGAAATTCGATTAATTTAAATTATTTTTTTTAACGAATTTTACAAAATAAACGGTTCAAATATATTGAGATAGGTCTATGATGAGCCCATAGTGTGCCAACACCACCTCCAATCTTAAGTAATGAACTGAAGAGAAGTTAAATCTATATTAAAGTTTTTTGGGACAACTTTAAAAAAAGCTATGGTGGAAAGCTCATGACCCGGGAATGGTTAGATATGAAAGGCGAACCGTGAAAACAATTTTAGGAAATTACTTTTAACTTGGGGGAGAGAGAAGAAAGTGGAAACATGTTTTTAAAAATATGTTTTTTTTTTTTTTTTTGTTTCTAAAAAAATAAAAACAGAAATTGAAAACAGAAACAGAAGCGTTAACAAACAACCCCCAAGTTGTATGCATTGCTTGAAAAAGAAAAAATTAGAAAATAGGATGAATATGATTTACACATTTTAAATTCTATATTTTTTCTGAGTACATAACACTGTTGATACTGCTCTAAATTCGAGAGAGAGAGAGACAGATGAACATACTTTTCTCTGCTCTTGTCTCCCCAGTTACACCACCCTCCAGAAGTGATTATTTTGTCCATGTAAGTGTACGCAAAGACCACCCTTGAGAAGGTACCCCATGCCCTGCCCAAGTAGTGAACACCCGAGCCAGTGACCTTGCAATTAACAAATGAAAAGCCAGTTTTCTCAAGAGGGCTCTCCCTCTTCTGGGCTGTCAAGGCTCCAATGCTGTCGGTTTTCGCATGCAAATGGCAGCTATTGTAGTACGACAGCCCATTCCCGAATATGAAATCCACCGAACCTTGGATGTAGCAGCACTTGAAGTAATGCCTGCCTATGTGATCATAGAGAGTGTCTTGTGCTCCGATAAAATTGCAATGTATAAATGCCGCCATGTCTGCCGTGATTCGTAGAGCCACTGCTTGCTTTCCTTCAGCTCCTGATGGTGGCGATGGTGCTTTATTCTATTGTTGAAACATTTTTGGACTATATTAGTGTGACTAATCATTCTTAGCACAATAATCTTAAAAAAAAAATGCATAGAATGTAGTGCTGCCAGTGCCAGCCCAACATAGCACTGCCAACACTGCAGTTTGAAATAGAAACATTATTGGACTATACTATTGCAACTAAGCATTCTTAGCACAATAATTCTATTAATAGTGAAATTTCACAGAAAAATGCATAGAAGGCAGTGCGGTCAACATGACATTCATCGTGGTAGAGTGTAAGAAATTTTATTTTTTGCATAATGATAATTGACGTCGAATTTCATGTTGTCTAGGCTATGGAAAGACAACATATCAAAGCTAAACTTGGTGAGAACAGAGATTACAAGCTATAGCCTCCCACCCTCCACTAGAATGTGAATAGTTGCTTAGTAAGAGTACAAAATACCTAGCATATGATTCACATTATATAGTGAATTTGGGCTCACCTTGAAGCCAATTTTCTTTGCGATGAAGTAAGGAGAGTTAACAGCAACAGTTGCAGATGCATAGGTACCCAATGGCTTCCCATCCTTCCCTATCCGGTCTGCTGTGTCGTCCCATTCGATAATGGTCTTGTCTGCTCCCTCTCCTACCAGGGTAACATATGCCATGTTCACAGGAATATTAACTTTCTCCCTGCAATTTTCATTCAATTCATAACCAAACTTAAGCATAATCAAACAACTACATTTTCATCATAATGTGAGGAACAAGAGTTGAAATTGGTATTTGGGGACTAGTCAGAGTGAATCCCAGAACACCATTGTGATTAAAAACAAAAAAAAAATGGAGTTGGAATTGGTACCGGTAAATTCCTTTACTAACTAATATAACTGCCCGGCAGCGATTGCCAAGTGGAATTGAATTTATGGCTTTTTGCACTGAAACAAAATCTCCAAGATTTGGGTTCTTGTGTACTTTAATGGCTAAGCAAGGTTCGAACTTGTTATCTGCTTTCTGGAAGAAAGAACGGTTAAAAGAACCCATAAGTTTCACCCAATTTTGATGTTCTTCTTCAATAGTCACCAACTCATTAGACTCCAAAGGTTTTGTGTTTTTGAAAAACAAAATCAAGAAAAACAGGTTCAACATCACTGTAAACATCATGGAAGGAAATGGATTTACTAGTTTTGGGTAATGTGGAAGAATGAGAAAGTGAGGGGGGGTAAGTGTTTGGTAAAAGAGAAGACAAATGAGAAAGAGGAGGGAATGCTAGAAGATAAAGCTGTTAAAATGATTGGTTTAAAAATGAGGGCATTGCAGAGGAATCTGATGGCAGGGTGTGTGTCCGCATCTGTGTTACCTCTCTTCCTATACCACCTGCAGTTGATAAGTTCCTGTCAAACTGTGGTTTCTACTGTCTGTCTTGGTTTTCTAGGGAGGTGTGCGATTTTATATATATATATATATATGCATACATTAAGCACAGGTTGCAAATGAACCGAGCTTTTCTTTGTCGATCTTAACTCATAAAAAGCAGGATTATCAAGATTTTGATCTTGACCCTCCCTAGGATTTTGATTTTAACAACATTAGTTAAAAACTCATGTGAGTTCGGTTTGTTTGCTACATAAGTAAATTTTTAAGTTTATTTTGTTTATATTTTGTATATGAGCAAATTTATATATTTAACTAATGAAAATTATTAACAAAATTAACATTCTTTTATATTTTGTTTGTAATTTTATTGTTTTTTTTTTCTTCTTAATGTACTTTTTAATTTAGGTTTGATTTTAATTTATTTATTTAATAATTTTTTCAAGTTTTTCAAATACTAAAGAGCTGAGCTCGAGTTTCTCAAATATTAGATAAATCGAGCTTAAGTTCAATCCTTTCAAGATAAGTTTGAACTCGACTAATTTTTATTAAACCAAGCGCTCAACTTAGATCGGGTCATTTGCAGCTTTGGCACTCTATCCCTGTAATATGGATAAGTTTATGTATGTGTATGACTAAGTCCATCATATTGGCAAGCGTAATTTTTTTGTAATTTAATTTTGTATATATAAATTTATATGGATGTGTATCTGGCACACTTGATTTATGTATAAGTGAAAGAGTGTGAATCTCTCAAGGATTTGCTAGAGATTTTAATTAAATTCAGAACTTTTTAAGGATGATCTAGATATGAGGTAATTCGGACCAAATTAAGTAAAATTGGGCGATGTAAAGGTGAAGGAGTTTCTTGCAGTGAAGCTGTGATGCATGGCTCCGTTTGGGAAGAAAAAAGTTGGGTTTTTTTGGCTAAAATAGTCACAAAAAATCAAATCCAATAAGACAAAATATCATATCTAACCCACAATTATTATATTTTTTCTCTCACAAAAAAATCAAAAAAATAGCAAAGCTAGTGTGGAAGATAGAGAAAGAAGAAATAGTCAAAAAACCAAAAAACTAGAAAACCAATTCACTTCCCAGACGAACCTAATTGATAGATTATGCTAGGAATGGTGTTTGTTGCACCATTGTACTTGATGCAGCATGAGAGTTGACAATGATGAGAATCAAGATCACATATGCTTTAGGATGATGTCCCCTATTGAATGACATTGCCTTTTCAATTTATTTATTTATTTATTTTTTATAAATAATTTTGATTGGAGTAGAATGAATATTAATTTGTTGAGGTTCAGCCCAGTGATCCTCTTTTTTCAAAATTCATCTCATTTTCTCCATATATTCTTAATCACATGATATGTTAAGAATCTTAAAATATAAAATCTCGAGATACGGAAAGTATAAATTTAAAGATGATGTACTTGATGCAGCATGAGAGTTGACAATGATGAGAATCAAGATCACATATGCTTTAGGATGATGTCCCCTATTGAATGACATTGCCTTTTCAATTTATTTATTTATTTATTTTTTATAAATAATTTTGATTGGAGTAGAATGAATATTAATTTGTTGAGGTTCAGCCCAGTGATCCCCTTTTTTCAAAATTCATCTCATTAATCACATGATAGGTTAAGAATCTTAAAATATAAAATCTCGAGATACGAAAAGTATAAATTTAAAGATTTAGAACAAAACATAAACCTCTATAATTGTGTGATTGAAAATTATTAATACAACTATATAGTGGCTTATTTTTTGTGTTTCTAAAATAAAGAAAATGTATTAATAATTTTTTCTAAAATTGGGCAAAAAGGAATAAAATTTACTATTCCAATTATTATTACTATTACACTAGGGATCTAAAATTGTATAATTGTCACCGTTACTATTACGTGAATTAAAACTTTGAAACAATTAAATTTTAAGGTACAAATTTTAATGCATTTATAAATGGTGGGTAAAGATGGTAGGAGAAAGAAAATGGGAGAGCAAAGATGGGAGGAAAAATAGTCAGCAATATAGTGTAAGTGTGTTTAAATACACTTACTGTTTCCATTTCAGCAAGAGCAGTGGCAAAGCTAGCATGGAAGATAGAGAAAGAAGCAATGAAAATGGTGTTTTTAAGGAAGAAGGGGGAGTGATGGGATGGATGGGTGTGATGGGATGGATGGTGCTGACAGATGGTGGCAATGATACATCATGTCATTGGATATGTTCATGATGAGATTTTTTTAATTGCATAAAATAGTTAAAAGTGAAAATGGAGCTCCTCCTCCTCCTTCTTGTTGTTATTGTTGTTGTTTTTTTTTTTAATGGGAAAAAAGGTTATTTTTTCCATTTCAAAATAATGGTCATTTTTAGAGAATTTAATTTTTTTTGATAATATATTATTATATTATCAAAATATTAAGTTTTCAAAATTAGCCCTTGATAGCACATTTTTTTTTTAAAATATCAATTGTTATAATTACACTTTTTATGTTATTAATGAATTTGAAAGAAGGATAAAATAGTAAATTTATATTATTTTATTTCTTGATTTTTGAAAAGGGACTAGTATTTTGATACAATGAAAAATAGAATAAATGACTAATATTTTAAGATGGAGGGAGTATTAAACATTTATACTAAAATAAAAATTAACATCATACAGAATAATAAAAAGAAAAAAATAAAATTCTAAATAGCTAAACAAGAAATTCTATTGAAATTAAAACAAAAAATAATAAAATTTGTCAAAAAATCAATACCAGTATGAAAAAAATCACCAATCATCTCATAGATGTGATTTGGAAAAATAAGATTTACATCTAGATAATGCTTAGCCTCTCTGTTTTCGTTGCCAACGTCCTTACCACAGTTGCCCAACAGTATACTTTCGAAAGTTAGAGTTGAAGAAGTAGAATACTTACAACAGTAAAGGAGGATTGAAAGAAGAGAGGACCATTGTGGGTGTTGAAAATTGAAAAACTTACGCTAAAATCAGGGAAAAAGACTCTCAAATCCCTCTTTGTAAGTATCAAAAAACTCAAATTTGTACTTTGGAAGTGTTTTTACGTCTCGTCGAAAAGTTGTTGGAGGGGCGCTGGAAATCACTAGTGAGAAACCCAACGCCCCAGTTAAAAAAAAAAAAAAAACCAATGCCCCTGGTGGGTCACTTTTGCTACACATTTTTAAAAGTTATTTGGTGTTTTAGGGACACGGTGATATGGTGTTCCAAATCGAATTGATTAGTGGAGAGGATAGAATCTTTTGATTTATGACGAGGAATAGCAAGAGGGCATGATAATTGGTTGATTGATTGAGGACAGAAATAAGTGGCTGTACGGGAAAGAAATAAACCTTCTCGTATAATCCTGTTATCAAGTCTGCGCTCCTCCGTACGTCGTTACTTTACTCCCTGAAAACACAAACGTGAGCTAGCTGGCGGGTGTGTGCCGGATACCTCTCTGATGCCTAAGTCAGCAAAATAGACAAATAGACAAAAGCTCTGTGTATTCGGGAATCAAAGTTGTGTTACCTCTCCATAGGTGATGTTATGAGCTTTTATAGATTTCGCGTGGCATAATCCTAGTAGGACTTTTACTCATCCATGTAGAGTCCTCCTAGGAGTCATACTCCAAAAAGACAATGCTTATCTTTCAACACCCTCCTTACTGCTTAAACCAAGTGAGATGGTTTTACCATGGTCGGATTCCAATATGACCGAGGTAAGCATGGCTATGCTAAGCCGCAGATTAGACCGAACTATAGCTAGTTTGGTTCTTCCTTTCACTGCTCTTACCTCGGTTTCTTATGTACAAACCATGGTGTGATTAGACCGAGCTAACAAATAGCAAGGTTCTGACCGAGATAACCACGATAAGCCATGGCCGGGCTAACTTTGAGTACGGTGACCGAGCTATATGTAAAGCTTCTCTAGACCGGACTAACTTCATGGTTCTTTCGGACCGAGATAACAATAGGGCTTACCAGGACCGGGCTAACTACAAGCCCTCTTTCATCCAGCCCTTCTTACTGTGGCCCAAAGAACGGCCCATTTACCCATCTCGGCCCAATTTAGGTATAAATTACCCTCTCAATACCCCCTTAATTCCATCTGCGCAGCATGATAGGGATTTACTTGTTTTACCAGCCAAGCTAAAGATTTTAATCTTACAACCGAGCTAAACTTTTAAGCCTTTATAGCCATGCTTAGACTATTTAGCCTTTCTAGCCGAGCTAAAACTCTTTAGCCTTTCTAGCCGAGCTAAATTCACACCAGGCTGTACCTGTTCGGTCAAAACGTCTCTTCAATCGCAGCAACTGAATCGCTTCTCATTCCAAGGACACGTGGCATGCTCTTATTGGCTAAAGGTAGCTGTCACGCCGTCTTCGTACCTCGTGTTTTTTGAACAGTTCCCGCCTTTAGCCCTTTTCTTTTCACAAAACAATTCCTAAATGTTTTGAATCATTAACTTTAATATTCACCCTTTCTCTTTTGCAAGCCTCTGAACCCCCCATTTCAACTTGATAACTGTGAAGCTCGTGATTTTGCTTGCAGCTGTTGCCCTCATCTTGACCTGGTAAGCTATATAGATCTATTCTCCTTTTATTGTTTTTGTATTTGTTTAATCCATAGCTTTTTGTTTGTGTTTTTACGAAACATATTCTTTCCATTTGCTTTGCCTTGCGTTTTCTGAAAAAAACTTAGTAATAGAATCACTTGAAATAACCTAAGAAACACTGGTTTCGATTCAAAATCACAATATAACCGAATTAGGAAGTTGTTTGTAGTTGATGTCAACCTAGCCAGACTACAAACCGGACTAGCACTTCATGCTAAACTAGTAGTTTCATTAGGTTGAACCATCTTTTGTTTCAATTTATCTTAGTCGGGCTATTGATCCGTGCTAATAGTATGCTTGAAAGCCTCGACCATGACCGAGCTACAACTCAGGGCTAAACCAGTTTTCCTAGTTCAAACCGAACTAAGAATGCTACCCCT